CTGGGCAGACAAAAAAAAAAAAAAAAGTGAGCTTAGGACTTCACCTTTAACAAATGAAACAATGTTACAGATCCATTCAGCTGACTTTTTATCAACATCGAATACAAGCTATTAAAAACAATCACATAACTTTAAATTGATTCTAAAGGCTTAAATATTTGTTTAAAAAAATAACAAACATGCATATACTTACCTGCTGTGTGCACTGGTTTTGCAGAGCAGTCCGGATCCTCCACTTCTAGGGTCCCCCATTGGCAGTCCTGTTGGGTGCCCCCATAGCAAGCAGCTTGTGTGTGTCCATTCACACATGAAGCCATGGCTTGGCCACACCCCCCTCTCTTCTCACTGGCTGTGATTGACAAATCCAATCAGCAGTCTGGAAGGGTGTTACCAAGTATGTATATTTCGACTATATATTATACATGAAGTCCATAGTTCCTTTATATATAGAATATCTTCTTTTTGCTGCCCTGATCTTACAGCTGGGGTATATAACCAGCTTGGGGAGTAGTTTGTATGCTCGGGGACACAAACATTTGGTTGTTTTGGTGACTTTTTTCAGCTTTATTACGGATATGCGGCTTTATCCATTTGGCACACCTCTGCATCTCTGATTAAGGGATCCCTCCCTCTTGGATCCAATGCTCATGGTTCTTACCGGCTTTCTACAAATTTATTGATACCATCATTGGGTAAATGTAAAATATTGTTTGTTATAAATATTTTCTTTAGTATGTTGTATGAGTATTTTTTGGCCTTGTTTATATAAATTTTAGAATCAGGTTATATCTCCCTGAGGAAGCGGGCTATTATCCTGCGAAATGCGTTGACGAAACAATCGAAGTACCAATTTGGAGCCAACATGTCAACTATGGTTCTTATGTTATCGAAGGTCATACCCTGTAATGTTATGTGTCCAACCGGTTTGCTATAAGAATGCATTCTTTTTATGATTCGTGTTGGGATTGCTCAAATATCACTACCACAACCGTGGTTTTAACGGTCAATAAAGTTGTACTTTTTATACCCTTTGAGTATACATCCATTTTGTGGTATGGTGCCTCTTAAAGCCCCATTAGTTTTCCAGTTAGGGTTTTCATACTTTTCAGTGTCCTGCCAATAAGGGGTGTGGCACCATTACTGCCTACCAACAAGGGATTGAGACCTTTATTGTGGGACTCCCTCTACCCCTCCCCCCATTACTAATGTTTTATTTTTTTTTTTTAGTCACCTATCAAATGGATATCCTATATTTAAGAGAAAGTGCCCACTAGAAAGATTCCCCCCCCCCCACTTTTTGTCCTGGTGATACAAGGACAAGCAATGATAGGGTGCAGGTGTCACCAAGACGGAGACCGCTATAAATACCTGAGAGATGCTAACCTTTCCTCACCCTACTAAAAAAAAATCTGCTGCAATTATAAGATGCATTTACGGCATCCTCCAAGTCCTCGCTTTTATGCCTGAATGCCAGGCAGCTTTGAGGACCCAAGCGTCAACACTTCCTCTTCGAGTAGAAGCTTTCCATCTCCCTCTCACATTTCTACTGGTCCATAAATATAATAGAAACAAGCATAAGGCATGAAGAGTATGACAACTTTTGATGAGGCCTTGCCGGTTACAAGGGCCCCAAGGATTGGCTGTAAGTGCAGAGTTTAGAAGACTGCTACAGGTATGTACAGACACCTCACAGTTTCATCTCACTGTAGTTAGGGTTTGACCGTTTTTTGGCCAATGGTTACAATTATTTCGAATTCACGGACTTAAATGTGCAGCTTAAAATGTTGACTTCATATGCAACATGCTTATTCCACATCAGTTACTCAAACGAATACAACAACATTAACAACAATTATACAATTAGCATTTCAAAGACAAAGTCCACACAGAAGCCTACACATTCTTCTCAGTTCATTTCCTTTAAAAATGGTTGTAAACCCTTCTATATACCCAGTGAAGTGACTGGCCTCAGGTGATACACAGAGATGAAACAAATCCTCCTACATAAGTTGACCTGTCTATCTGTGGTCTTCTCTTCTCTACATCTGTTCAGACTGCTGAATTTATAAAGCTTGCCCAAGTTGAAAGGAAAAAAAGAAAAAGGGGGGGGTGGCTGGAATTACACACTGCAGAGCTCAGCGAGATCTCTGAGAGCCGGCTGGAGGGAAGGGAACACACAGCTCACAGGAAGAGAGCAGAGTCTGTCCATTTGCTGGAGATCCCTCCCCTGTCACCATTTTTTTCTGGGTGTCAGGAAAACTTGTCAGAAGTGATTCTGCTGACAGAGGAACGAGGCAGCAGACAGAAATAAGACTTTGTGCTCTTATTCTAGACTATAGAGGACTATGCTTTATCGAGACTATAGGAGGTCTATGCTTTGATTCATATTTCATAGCAACACAAAAAAAAAAACAAAAAAAACAAAACAAAACACAGAGCGCACTAGCCTAGTGCAGTGGTGGGCAACCTTTTTTTTTCAACTGAGCCAAATCTTGCCAAAACAACGATTGAAATTTATTTTGAGAGCCACATTTTTAAAACTGAAAATACATAGGATGGTACACCGTTTTTAGTTTCAATAAGTTTTTATAGTAATTCATCCCCCATAGTAATTCATCCCCCATATAGTAATTCATCCCCCCTATAGTAATTCATCCCCCATAGTAATTCATCCCCCATATAGTAATTCATCCCCCCTATAATAATTCATCCCCCATATAGTAATTCATCCCCCATATAGTAATTCATCCCCCATATAGTAATTCATCCCCCATATAGTAATTCATCCCCCATATAGTAATTCATCCCCCATAGTAATTCATCCCCCATATAGTAATTCATCCCCCCTATAATAATTCATCCCCCATATAGTAATTCATCCCCCATATAGTAATTCATCCCCCATATAGTAATTCATCCCCCATAGTAATTCATCCCCCATATAGTAATTAATCATCCCCCATATAGTAATTCATCCCCCATATTAATTCATCCCTCATATAGTAGTAGTAAGTAAGTAGCAAGTAGTAAGCCAAGTCCCCCCTGTGTCAATTCACTTACCTTTGCTCCGCGCGTTCCTCTCGCCGTGTTCCCGCGCCGTTCTGGTCTTCAGGGCGGACTGTGAGAGGAGCCTAGCTCCTTTCACGTTCGTCACGCTGCCCCGCCTACACACATCCTGACAGCCAATCACTGGCTATCAGGATGTGAGTGGCAGCGAGACTGGCCAATCATTGCATTTGAGCGCGCTGCCCTGGCTGTTTTTTTTTTTTGGATCACGCTGCAGAGTCCCTGCCACCCGAGAGGAGGGAGGGGAGCGGGCACCCGGCACACAAGAGCCGCATTAAAGCATGTAAAGAGCCGCGGCTTGCCGACCACTGGCCTAGTGCATTATCCTTAAAACGTGCTTTTATTGGTATAAAAGTGATGTGTTGTACTCAAAGGATGAGTAAATCAGAAGCTCATCATATAAAAACAGCACCATCCAGTCCACAATGCATCACATCCCATAGAAGGATCCCTGGACCTCCAACAGGCCACACAGCCAGGCTCTGAGGAAGAGGCAAATCCTCGAAGAGCATTAGTCTGTTAGAGGTCCAAGGATCCTACTATGGAATGTGATGCATTGTGGACTGGATGGTGCGGTTTTATATGATGAGCTTCTGATTTACTCATCCGAGTACAATACTTATGACTTTTATACTAATGAAAGCGTGTTTTAAGCCCTTTGCGCCGGCTGGCCCTTTAAGGGTTTCAGGAGCTGGGGCGGGGTTTAGGGTCATGTGACCGCCCTGACACGCCGTCACATGATCGGGAAAGGTCCCGATCGAAAGAGGAGATCGAGACCTTTCCGTGAGTACCGGATATGCGTGCTGGGAGTGCTTTCTCAGCACATATGTTTTTTAATAGAACGCAAATATGCGGCCACTCGGCGTCTAGGCCCAGACGCCGGGAGGCCGCCCATTTGCGTTCGGCCAGCGTGAAGAGGTTAAGCACTAGGCTGGAGTACCCTCCGTTTGCTTTTTTGGTTACAGTGTTTGTGGAGTTCCCAGTACATTGAGGGCAGCAAGACGAACAGTTATCCAAGAAAGCCAGGATGGAGATGTAGCCAGTAGAATTTTTGAGTTGACCCCCAAGCACAGGAGATTGTGTTTGTAAACCTCAGACATGAAATATGAATCAAAGACAAGCACTTAAGTAAACCCATCACATACGTAGAATACATCAAGCCACTCCTACTGGATCCTCCTGCTCCACTCTCACTACTGTGCCCTTGAGCCAGAAGGTTGGTATAAGGAACCAATGAGCACTATGGGAGACCAAAGACATTGACACTTCTGGGGATGGTTTCTCAGTAGATTCTGAGGAACCTCTTCACAGAAAGAGTGGAGTTCATTGGCACTTGCAGCAGTAAAAGGCAAGTACTCCAGGTGAACATCCTACAAACTCATGACTTTACAAGTATATACGTATTTAAGAAGAAGCTCTGAGTTCCAGAAGCTTGTATTTATTCTACGTTAAAAATAGCAGATGACCTCAGCTGTATTGAACTATGCCACTAAAAACAAGTCATTTTTATAAAAATATTTTAAGCTAAATACTGGAAACAAAGTAGGCGCTCACTAAAAATACTCAATTTACAGGCAGATATCAGGCACCTATAATGCCACATTCACACTGCACTATCACCTGTGTTTGGGCCTAGAGAGGAGGGTGCACACGTGGGCCCCATACCTGAAGTTTCCTGAATTGGCGAGGAGCTAGATACTATGAAGGTATAATGTGACAAATTAGGGTGCTTGCTTTATAGACTGTGGGTTATTTTAGCCTGGCAACATTAAAACGTATACTTTAACATGTAAAGAACTCAAACGTTTTCAATTTAATCAATTGTCGTGTTAAGTAATGTTCCTATTTAGAACATCTCGGTAAAATGCAACCCAACGCACCAGGAAAATAAAATTTTTAGAATTTACGTTGACCGGCTGTAAAGCACATTCCTC